ACGTTTCAGTCTTTGTAATTAGCTAATTGCATGCTCTCAAATTGTGATTTCGATTTGAAATCAGCTAACAGTTCAGTCCTAGTTCATAGCTGTTCAGATCTGAGTGGTACAATATGGAATTAAGACCCCACAACTACTGTTAGATATGGAAACGTTTCAGTAAATTAAAGGACAGAATCAACTAAATTGTGCTTTTTAACAAGATTAAAAAATAACTACAGTAAAGAGAAAAATACCTGCTATAATTAGAATGCTCTAGAAAACAGAATTTGCTTTAACATTAGCTGTAAACTTGTAAAATAAATCGCTCTGACGTTTGACAGGAGAAGCTGCTAACTTGCTAGCAAGTGTTAGCAAAGCGTTTTAGTAAATACGTTAAAAAACACAACACGCAAAGTTACCTACCAGCATAGGGACTCCATATTTCACTGTTTTGTTCCTCTGCAGGGTCCTTAAATTAAACATGACTCCTGTCTTCAGCTACAGGTCCATTTTATAATAGCAAACAGCGAGCAGGTCAAAGCCGGGACGCGCTTCCTGGTTGGGTCCGACCAGCTAAACTGTCCGTACAGTTACGACGACGCGATGAAGGTTCCTGTGCGTATCCGCTCCAGCGATTTTTTAAATGTCGAGTAAAATAACTTAAAAAAAAAAAAAGCTGTTGGATGTGTATGAAAAAGTCTGACTTCACTACACAAGTGTCACTAGAAGGCTTTGTGTCAAAGTCACGTGTTATTGCAGATTTCTCTTCATGATATTTCGTAAACTTTTATGCATTTTCGTAGTTTTACGGCTCTTTGCGTGTTTTACCAGCGCATTTTCTCAATTGCTCACAATTTCAGACGACACAGTTCATTATTTTAGTATTTTCTTACCTTATTTGCAGCTACTGGTCTCACTTCATCCATACCTGCCGACCCCCGCAGGTGTTTCCACTCAATTTGCCTGATTAGTGCGTTTCACGGTACCTTGTGAGCATGCGCAGTCTACAGAGCTTCCAGGCATAGATGTATATAATAAAGGCTTTATTATACATA